GCTTACCAACTAAAATCTTCTTGCACTATTTCTAGAGTAAAAACAGTTACTAACACATTATTTTGTTTCTAGAAATATAGTCAAATATCAGTTAAGATTTTCTGTTACAGCTACTTAATAAATTAAAACTTTTGCTAATAAATAATTTTATTTAATTTAGCCAAAATACCAAATACTGCTCTAAACAAATAACCATATGCTCTTTGAGCAGTTATAAAAAATTTCAGTTACCAGCTACCACTTCCAAATTTGTAATTTGAAAGAGCTAAACCTTTATTAGATATGTAATTACCAGAAAAACAAAATGAGTCTATGGCATTTTACAGTAAAGTTAAGTCATACTAGTAAAAAAGCTCATTCGAGAGAGTCTCTATTCCAATTATAAAAGCCTCACTATTAAAGACCTGGCAGCTCTACAGTTCCTAGCCAGTTTAATTAGTTGTATGTTTAAGCACTTGTTAGCAGCATGCATTTGCAACAGCTTCCACTCTGTTCAGTAAGAATAAAAAGCCTGTCCTAATTACAATGTTCATACAGAGCTGGCAACAGACAGACACCTGTTCATTTCAGAAACATCTACACACTTTCCCATGGAAAGAAAGAAAAGGTTGACAAAAGGTCTTAGCAGGAATAGCCTACTCCAAAATGACCTAGAAAGATTTAAGATGTTACCACCCCAGAAAATTATTGTATATGTTATTTAATAAATGCTTAAATATCTCATTTGTCTAAAAGATAAAACAGTAATACAAGCAAAAAATAAGCATTATTAACTCTAACATATTTTTTCAGAACACAGAAAATTACAAAAACACATGTAAGTAAATGTCATATTTTTCATTTCAATCATTAACACAATTTGGAGAGCACAAGGAAGTGTACGGCTTTGTTTACCTTTAGCATTGAGACTATAAGGTGAAAGAAACACAAAAGCAAAGAAGCACAGATTAAATGCTTTTTAGATCTCACCCTGCTTAAGACATTATGGTAGATTAGATGCTTTGATAAACTCTTGTGCAGTGAAACAACTAGATCCATGAACAAAACATACTCGAATTGCTAGGCATGTTAAGAAGTAGAGAGATTTCCAAGGACATCCTCTTCAGACCCTTTCACTCCCCTTCCTGGACTTCACCAACTGCCAAAGAAGGCTGAAGCAGCAGCTGGGAGAAGTGAAATGGTGGGCAGAAGGACAGAGGCAGGACTGTCTTGAAGGATGATGCCTAGAAAAGCTTCAAAAAGGCTAGTGGCAAGCTGAGCTTAGGACCACTGTGTTAAACCTAAGCCCTCAAGTAAAGTTTAAGTACCCTACATCAGTGGTAAAAGCAGAAGGAGCAAATTTTCTTGGGAGGAAGGTATTCACACTTTAGAACCACAGGATTCCCAAAGATAACACCAAATAGTAAATTTACAAAGTTCTCCACACACATAAGAAGGCAAGCCACCACTAAAATACTGATGAGTATAGCATGTAGTCTGTAACTAGAAAGTAGACTGTACAAAGTAAAAATCTAAGAAAACTGGAAGTTGTCAAAATGAAATGGAATGCATAATGATCAATATCCTAGGCATTAATGAGCTAAAATGGATGGGTAGTGGCCATTTGAATCAGACAATCACATGATCTGCTATGCTGGGAATGACAAATTAAAGAGGAACTGTGGGACATTCATTGTCAAAAAGAATGTACCAAGATCTATCCTGAAGTACAGTGCTGTCAGTGATAGGATAATATCCATACACCTACAAGGAAGACCAGTTAATACTAATATTATTCAAATTTACACACCAACTACTAAAGCCAAAGATGAAGAAATTCAAGGTTTTTACTAACTTCTGCAGTCTGAAATTGACCAAACATGCAATGAAGATGCATTGATGATTACTGGTAATTAGTATGTGAAAGCTGGAAACCAAGAAGAATCATAAACCAAAAAAACCAAACCCACTGCCAGTGAGTTGAATTTGACTCATAGCGAAGCCCACTGGGTTTCCGAGGGGGGTCAATCTTTACGTAAGTAGATTGCCCAGTCTTCCTTCCATGGAGTGGTAGGTGGGTTGGAACCACTAACCTTCTGATTAGCAGTCAGATGCCTTAGGTACTGTGCTACAGCAAAATGGACAAGAAGAATCATGTTGTTATTGTTAGGTGCCATCAAGTCATCTCTGACTCATAGTGACCCTATGTAAAGCGGAATGAAACACTGCCCAATCCTGTGCCAGCCCCACAATGCTTGCTGTATCTCAGCCCATCATTGTACCCACTGCATCAATCTACTTATTGAGGGCCTTCCTCTTTTTTGTTGACCCTCCACTTTACCAAGCATGATATCCTTCTCCAGGAAAAGGTTCCTTCTGACAACATGACCAAAGTAGGTGAGTCTGGCCATTCTCGCTTCTGAGGAGCATTCTGGCTGCACTTCTCCCAGGACAGATCTCTTAGTTCTTTTAGCAGTCCACGGTACTTTCAGCATTCTTCACCAACACCACAACTCAAAAGCATTGGCTCTTCCTCGCCTGTTCTTATTCATTGCCCAGCTCTCATATATATATATGAGGGGACTGAAAATTACATGGCTTGTGTCAGGTACACCTTAGTCTTCAAGGAGTGCTCTTCAACACTTGAAAGAGGTCTTTTGTAGCAGATTTTCCCAATGCTATACGTTGTCTGATAATCTTGACTGCTGTTTCCATTGGTATTGATTGTAGAAGCAAGTAATATGAAGTCTTCAACAACTTCAATCCTTTCTCCATTTATCGTGATGCTGCTTATTGGTCCTGTTGTGAGGATTTTTGTTTTCTTTATATTGAGGTGTAATCCACACTGCAGACTGTAGTCTTCAATCTTCATCAGTAAGTGCTTGAAGTCATCCTCACTTTCAGCAAGCAAAGCTGTGTCGTCAGTATATCCCAGGTTGTTAATGAGTCTTCCTCCAATCTTTATGCCAAGTTCTTCTTAGAGTCCAGTTTCTTGGATTATTTGCTCAGCATACAGATTGAATAAGTATGGTAAAAGGATACAACCTTGATGCACTGCCTTCTTGATTTTAAACCATTCAGTGTCACCTTGTTTTGTTCAAATGTCAGCCTACTGGTCTATGCACAGGTTCCTCATGAGTCCAATTAAGTGTTCTGGAATTCCCATTCTTCTCAATGTTATCTATAATTTCTTATGATCCACACAATTGAATGCTTTTGCATAGTCAATAAAACATAAATAAACATCTTTCAGTTATTTTTTAGATCCATCTGACATCAGCAATAATATTCCTCGTAACAAGTCCTCTTCTGAATCCAGCTTGCATTTCTGGAACCTCTCTGTAAATATACTGCTGCAACCTGTTTTGAATTATCTTCAGAAAGATTTTATTTGTGTGTGAAATTAATGATATTGTTTGATAATTTCCACATTCTATGGGATCACCTTTCTTTAGAATGGGTACAAATATGGATCTTTTCCAGTCAGTTGGCCAGGTAGCTGTCTTCCAAATCTCTTGGCATAGCCGACTGAGTGCCTCTAGAAGGGCATCCGTTTGTTGAAACATCTCAGTGGGTATTCCGTCAACTCCTGGCACATTGTTTTTCACCAATTACTTCAGTGCAGCTTCGACTTCTTCCTTCAATACTGTTGGTTTTTTTT